CTTGAGTTGTTACTCGTAACTATGAACTCTTCCTTCTGCCGAACTACCCTTTTTAATACTTCTCTTTTTTCAACATTTCAGATCCCTTTTTTTCATCTTGACTTACCCTAATTACATTCTCCCCACTCCAAAGTTTTTGCAGAGCTTTGTATTTTGCATGATAACATTTTGCTATTTAGCATGCTTGATTTGATCCGGTGCTTTTAGCTAAGTAAAATAAGGCAGAAAGCAATCAGGGCTGAGGGGCTGCTTTCCAACAGCAGTGGCAGGAGAAGAAGAGCTTTGCAAAGGCTCATCAGACACATCTGCTTGCTTGTTCAAAAACTTGAAGCTGAGGCACCCTGGAAATGTTAAAAAAGCTGCTCATGTCTCTAAAGATTCTGCCATACAAAATTTGCCAATCCTTGCCCCTGGTATGTGCAGCCTCAGAAACAGAGAGGGATTTTAACCTGAACCCTGAGGTCTCTTTTGTTTTCAGAAGCCCGGATTTGCATTCAATTGTTATTTCCTAATTGCTCAGGTTGTTGTGGGAATTCAGGCAGTGTATTTGCAGTTTGGGGGCACAGGGTAGCAGCTGCTACACTGGGTACCAGCAAGTGATGCTGGTGATATTTGCCTTCAAGCTCTGTACTGATAGTATCTGGGTTTGCTATATCAAAATCAGCATAGAGTTCCACAAGACTCTTGTGCTGTACATCTCCCTGACTCACCCTCCTTTGATGCAGGTGATTTTTCCAGTGGTGATTCAAGGTGCCTGGAAGTATTCCAGAAGTAATCCATAGTCAATAAATCTTCTGTGCTTGCATTTCTCTGCCCATTATGTGCAAGTGGCTTTTGTGCACACTCAGCATTGCTATAGTGACAGAAAGGTCCTTGGAATATCCCTGACAAGTGAGTCTTGATCAAATTTGACTAATTAAAAGAAGCTGCCTGTGGGAGGCACACACACTACAGGCTCCAGTCTGGAAAGGACATTGCAAGGTAGATCTTACAAATGATGAGTAATGCCAAGAGGTGCATTTACTGATATTTGTCACAGGACAAGGTGTACAAAGTGTCCAGTGAGGAGATCAAGCAATATTTAAAATGAAAGTATATTTTATATCTTGTGTACAATTAAGCTATATAGGTCATTGCAACAGAATGCCAAAAAAATAAATCATGGAAGAACAATTCATCAGGAACTGCTGGAAACAGATAGGGCTGCAAAGCCTTGCATGAGATGTTCCTGAATTGCTTGTTGATAGAATCACAGAATTTTAGGGGTTGGAATGAACCTTATAGATCACCTAGTCCCAGTCCCCTCTGCCATGGGCAGGGACACCTCCCACCAGACCAGGTTGCTCAAGGCTTCATCCAACCTGGCTTTGAACACTGCCAGGGCTGGGGTAGCCATCACTTCCCTGGGCACCCTGTTCCAGCGTCTTATCACTCTTACAGTAAAAATCTTTTTCCTAATATCTAACCTAAATTTCCCCTCCTTCAACCTGAATCCATTACCCCTTTGATCCATTATAGGATCTGGGAGAGTGTGCTAGGGAAGGCACAACGAGTGTTTCACTTCTTGTGTTCTTTCTGTAAGCATTTGCTGCTGGACACACTTGGGCAGAGGAATAGACAGACCTCCAATCCGGTCTTTGACAGTTTTTCTGGAGTTCTTTATACAAAATGATGGACAAAACCCAACTAGTACCATGGGGTCTGCACCCAGGAGGATGGACTGGCCATGTACCTCCCCAGTAACAACATACACTAGGACACAGCACCACTTACAGCTTTGCATGTGCCCAATTGGCCTCTAACAGTTCATTTTTCCTTTTCTATGCTGTTCTTACTATCTGCTGCCTCTTAGGTAAAGGGACTTCTATGTCAATAGCCTGTTTGTGCAGGTGAGAGACCAGCCTTGTGCACAGCCTGAGCAAAGTGGCTTTCACCACTATACAGTTCACAGGATGACAGAGGAGTTGAGGTCAGAAGACATCTCTGGAGATGGTCCAGTCCAGCCCACCTGCTGAAAGCAGGGCCCACTAGAGCAGGTTGCCCAGGACTGTGTCCAGTTGGGGTTTTAATATTTCCAAAGATAGAAATTCCACAGCCTCTTGGGGCAACCTGCTGTGGTGTGCAATCACTTTCACAGAAAAACAAGTTCTCTTTTATGTCTTAGTGGAATTTCATGTATGTCAGTGTCACTGGACCCCACTGAGAAGAGTCTGGCTCCATCTCCTCCTAAACTCCCTTCCATCAGGTAACCATACACATTGGTAAGATTCTCATGGAGCCTCCTCCAGACTGAACAATCCCATCTCTCTTGGCAAAGCTCCAGTCCCTGCATCAGCTCTACAGTGCTTCAC